ATCAGTTAAATGACGAAAAATTAGGTGTCTATTTACTTGTGACCACTCAGTGTATATATACTCTCAGTTTTCTTTAAGTTGAATTTTGCAATATTGTGGTAATCTCATCATATATTGGTGAATAATGACTTGAATATAACAGTATAATAAAACTTTGGCAATTTTTTGATACACTGTTTATTTAAGGATTGGTTTAATATTATATATTTGTATACTGAAAAACAATGTAATTTCTTAATTTGTCAACATATTTCTTCTAGAATACATATAATTTTATGTAGTTAACATTGCCTGCTAACCCTAGTAAAAGTTGTAATGCAATTGTTTTTTGGAATTTCAATCGAGAGCTTACTATAATGGTAATTTTGTGCTGGGGTCCAGATGGACCCCAGGTGTTCCACAACTAACTTTTCAAAGATATGCTGATGAGGGTTATTGATGTAATACAATTATGTGATTGTAAATGGTATAAATTACAATAAACATCTGTGAGACATTTATGTAATATAATAATGACATGTAAGATACTTCATTCTTAACAGGTAAATGTTTGATAGAAAGAGGCAAAAACTGTAATAAATACTTGGCTTTAAAAGTTTCAAAAATTGTTTAAGTAGATATGAATAAGTTAACTCAGGGATAAATTTACTTGATGTCATCCGTAAATGTTCATAAGGCTTTAAAAATGGTATGTTTCACTTGATCCTCTGTTTACTTACATGATTTTTATAACACATTTTAAGGCCATTGATCTCTAATGCTTCACCAGCTTTTGCAGTATAATCTATAACTTTTTAAGTGTTTACTCCAGTTGACTGAGGAAAATCGGTTCACCCTACCCACCTATATTTTATATTGCATCTTAACAAATAAAATAGTTATAGTCCAAGTGACCTATAAGGTCAATAAAAAAAATAGCAAATGATCAACTTGTAATGATGGACATCAAGCCTGTGCAAAATAGTGGTTTGCCTACTACATTATACATACATCGTAATTTTTGTTCCTTTATCAAACCTGACAGTAAAAGTTTTCAGTTATTTTTTCAAAGCATATTAATTAAATGTGTTATTAAATTATGCATGAGCTTTCAGTGTTTAAACTGATGGAACACCATGCAGTTTTTATTTCAGCTACATGCACCCATGAAATAATTAATTTAAAAATATTAATTTCCATTAGATGCCATTGTGGGGAATGGAGAAATATGTTGTTATATTTAGTTTACAGTAAATAGATCAGAGTGAATTCATTGCATGTGAATGTTGATTAGTATAATTGAAAACTCCAATTTTCATTTAGTGATGATGTGTGTATTTATTTTGTCTATTTATGTGCAAGAGCATGGGAATTGGAGGAGCATTAGCATCCCCTGGCTTGAAGTATAGGGGTACTGCTCACCTCATGGTTTTATCAACATGTTTTAACACAATAATAACAACTAAAAATGTAACTTCCTTCATATACATAGTTTACAGTTTCGTTAAATAGTTTTTAGCACCATTACTATAAAACGTGTTCCAGAACTGCTCTTTAAAGGTATTTTTATAGCCTAGAGAATATTTATTTTTAAATTTCATTGCTTAGTGTTATACATGCCAATTAATTCTAGTATTTTAAGTTGGAATTTAAAAGGAGAACTCTAACTTACTGTAATACTTGGATTTAATAATTATGAAGCACATTTAATAGGTTTTGAGTGAACTTGTGGTTTTTGTAAGTCAAATGATAAGATCAAGTTCTTAACTAATTGATGCATTTGGTTCTTGGTCGAGTGTATGAACCATGGGTTTTACTAACTTTCAACCCAACTTGAACTTCCAATCCTGATGTTATAAATACTTAGTTTTTATAAGACTGCTTCATTTAAATCCTAATAAGTTTAGAATTAAGTTATATCAAAATATCAAATTTCGTGATGTTGTGGTTTTCAAAGCATTATTTAAGAAAAATTACATAATCCAACAACAAAAAACTCATTGTTAATTATGCCCTGAAAAAATAATTACAGGTGTTTTCAGGAAACTATGACAGTTCTAATAAGGTGGAACAAATATTTCCAAATCCTATCAAAGCAAAGACTTTGAGAATTCAACCCAAAACATGGAAGGGGCAGATATCACTAAGATTTGGTGTTTTAGGCTGTTATGAAGGTAAGAATGGTTTTTTATATTTCCTGGTATCTCTGTAATGTCTGAAATACCCAAAATAATATTTAATATATGAGAATGCTAAATAAGTGAGAAATAAATACAAGAAGTACCAGAGATCCTGAAACATTATGTTAGAAATACTTCTTTGGTTCATGCATCATGTTTTATGTCTTTTTTTTGCCTTTAGGAATCTTTCAGTAGCCTTATGAAATTTTAAAAATAATTTGTTTTACATAAGATGAATAGAGAAATAAAGTTTGGTCATAAAATGTGTTTTGTTATTTTATCAAAAATATTTCAGTGGCATTCTTGTTTATCTTAGTTAAAAACAATGAGAATAAAACCTAATGCCACTTGTAAAATTAATCAGTTAATTTTCATTTATACTTGCACATAGTTTTTATTGCATATGTGTCTATGTATGGGGAGGATACTATAACTGAATGAAGTTCTTGACATATTTAGGCATGCTCTATTCAATTTAGTGTCTAAAAAGCAGACACTGCAACCTCTAGTAATTTTCATTCTTAAATAAGTATTTTAAAGCTGTAATTTAACTAGATTTTTTTCTTATTGTTTCTTTATTTGGGTAAAACATCAAATGTATTATACAATTAAAAACGTTTATAATTATTTAATAATTATATAAAGAATATAACACTGTAGAAAATATAGAATGCATTGAATTTTCTTTTTTTTTTCAGTGAAATAATGTTAATGATTTTTATTAGGAATTCGTAAAACATTAAACAAATTTCTATAAAAAATTTAAATGTTCCAAAAATTATTTAGTGTTTGTTTTTGAATTAAAAACACAGCTTTTATAACGTTTTACTTTGTCAATATTTTTCAGAACTTACATCAGTCACATCTGTGAAACCCAAAGAAGGTGAGAGTTATTCTGGGCTGTGAAACTTACAGTAGTAATTTCAGTTTCAGGATAGAAAATTACATTATTACAACCAAAATAAATTAAAGTAAGGATTTAAAAATCATTGACTGAGTAAAAATAAAAGAAGCCAATTTTTTCTGGCAAATGCAACATGTCTCCACCACACAACCCCAATTTTGGCACCAGAAAAATTGAAAACTGTCTAAATCACTGCTTGGGACTTGCAAGAAGGTATCTTTGTACCAAATTCCATGTAAGTTGGTTGGCATACACATGAATAGTTCATGAAAACTCCAAATTGTGATTTCCTAGTTGAAAAATTGAGCAAAAGACAAAAATTCCAAAATTGTCTATTTTTCTGTTTGGGACCTGTAAAAAAAGTATCTTTGTACCAAATCCCATTTAAATTGGCCAAAATATGGTAGATTAATTGTCAAAAACTAAAATTATGCTTTTTATGGCATTTTGACCTCCCTATAATTACTAAAAATGGGCAAGTCCACCATTTTGGTTTCTAATCTGTGGGACCTGTAAAAAAGTATCTTTGTACCAAATTCCATGTAAGTTGGTTGGCATACACATGAATAGTTCATGAAAACTCCAAATTGTGATTTCCTTGTTGAAAAATTGAGCAAATTTTCCAATCTTTCAAAGTTATTTTCATTATAAGCTATATAAATAG